AGCAATCGAGATACACCACACCCCCAAGGTGTAGGGTGTCAAACCATAAATCAGATCAAACCTTAACTCAACACAGTGCTCATGATGTTCATTCTAGCATGACATCTCTGCCAAGTTCTCTGAAAAGTAAAACGATTCCACACCAATCATTTCTTTTCTCAACTGAGGCATGGATAGAAAATGGAAACCTATGCGAGAAGACGCGGAGGAAAAAGAAACCACACCTGCGATCCATGTTTACTGTTAACGAGCTGCTACTGTAGAGCATAAATGATCTAGAGCACATTTAATTAAACAAACAGAAGATAAGCACAGGATGAGTCATCACAAATATTTTAATCAGCCTTTTTTTTTTTAATCTTATTGATGTCCATAACACCGGTCCGAAACACGCATTTTAATTTCACGTTCATTTTAAATACCTCAAATGAGGTGTGTGTGTAAAATTAAATGTGTGTGCCATTATATATCTACCCATCTATCTATCGACAGACAGATAGGTAATAACAAAAATGGTGATAGTAATATGACACAGGTGCGTTTTATGACAAGAATAAAGAGAGATTGAGATAGATGTATAGAGTGAGAAGAGAGAGAGGGAGAGAGAATGAGAGGGAGAAATATTGAGAGAGAGCAAGTGAGAAAGCGAGAGAAAGATAAAGAGAAAGAGCATGTGAGAGCGAGAGAGCATAAGCATAAGAGAACACGCAAGAGACAGAAAGCATGCAAGAGAGTAAGAGAGAGGGAGAAAAAGAGAGTAAGAGGGAGGGAGGGAGAGAGTAAGAGAGAGAGAGAGGGAGAGAGGGTAAGAGAGAGGAAGAGAGAGAGTAAGAGAGAGGGAGAGAGAGAGTAAGAGAGAGGGAGAGAGAGTAAGAGAGAGGGAGAGAGAGAGTAAGAGAGAGGGAGAGAGAGTAAGAGAGAGGGAGAGAGAGTAAGAGAGAGGGAGAGAGAGTAAGAGGGACAGAGAGTAAGAGAGAGGGAGAAAAAGAAAGAGAGGGAAAGAGAGAGAGTAAGGGAGAATAAGGGATGAAGAAAAAAAGAGGAAGAGTGTAAGAGAGGGAGAAAACGAGAGAGAGGGAGAGAAAGAGTAAGACGGAGGGAGAAAAAGTGAGGGAGAGAGTAAGAGAGAGTAAGAGAGTAAGAGAGAGGGAGAGAGAGGGAGAAAAAGAGGGTAAGAGAGATAGAGAGTAAGAGATGGAGAAAAAGAGTGTAAGAGATAGAGAGAGAGTAAGAGAGAGTAAAAGAGAGGGAGAGAGAGGGAGTGAGAGTAAAAGAGAGAAAGAGTAAAAGAGAGAGGGAGAGAGAGTAAGAAAGAGGGAGAATAAGAGAGCGATAGAGAGTGAGAGAGAGAGTAAGAGTGAAAGAGAGAGAGAAAGAGAGTAAGAGAGAGTAAGAGTGAGAGAGAGAGAGCATAAAAGAGTAAAAGAGAGAGAAAGAGTAAAAGAGAAAGAGTATAAGAGTAAGAGATAGAGTGAGAGAGAGAGTAAAAGAGAGAGAAAGAGTGTAAGAGTAAGAGAAAGACTGTAAGAGTAAGAGATAGAGAGAAACAGAGTAAAAGAGAGAAACAGAGTAAAAGAGAGAGAAAGAGAGAGAGTGTAAGAGAGAGAGAGAGAGAGAGATTGCGATTAGCTAGGATAATGAGCCAGCATTTCTCTTCCCTCTTCACAATGCATTAAAAGTCAATGAGTCGGGCTTGAGGAAGTGTCAACAGTAAGGAAATGGTACGGTCCGTTGTAGGGGTGTTCCAAAATTTTGATTTACGAGTCTTTCTGACACGGGCGGGGAAACATCTCTCTGTTTATCGTCAAATTCTACTCACTGCCTGTCCTGTATCGGAACTATCAAACCTTCCCTGTTTACTTTGTTTTGGGGGATAAAGTCTTAAATGAGGTCGTCAGATCGCGCCCAATTATCCAAAATGTGTTCCGATGGTGTCGCCTACGCTACAAGCATCTTACACTATTACGGATGTATTCTTCTACCTTCTACCAATAAATAATAATAATAATAATAATAATAATAATAATAATAATAATAGATTATTTTCTTTTTACCCCCAATAACCTCATAGCAGTACAGGATACATGATTAGAGGATTTATTACATACGAAGTGACCTTCCTGCGTCATTTATTTCATGAAAAAAAAAAAGATTTAATCTCCATATTATTTGAACAGCAGCAGTAGACAGACTGCCGCAACACCGCCATTAGTTTTCAGTGATCTCCACTGTTACAGTCCCTTTCAGGGGGAAAAATAAACCCTACACGATCATCATATCCAACATGATCGATGTACAGTTTTCAATCGGGGCGTGCAACACCGTCGTGCTTCACTGTTATTCACTTGTCATTGCTGGCTGTGAACGCTCCATGCTAACCTACAAGCTGCAGCTTTAGCAGAGCACAAAACCGCAGACCTCCGCTTTGCGGTCCCAGGTTTAAAACGCAATCACACACGTGGAAAATCCCCCCAAAAAAAGCGCAATTAAACGCGCACTGTTACTCCGTTTACTACCACCGCTTGTTATTAGGCCTACGGAAGCATCCATACTTGGCGCACAGGGAAAAAAACAGCTCTCAACTGCAAGGAAGCAAAAAAAAAAAACCCACCCCTGGAAGCTAAAAAACAGCTAACCGCTCTGACTTTCTGCTAAACAGGCAGGGGGTGAAACAAGAGGTCGTGCAGTCCATGTAAGAAACGACAGTTTTATATTAATTTCGCTTACCATGGTACAAAAAGAGGCAAATTTGGAAACTGTCATTAGGATTTCCATTCGGCCAGCGCCATCTTCCACCCAATCACCGCGCGGAGGCGAAAACGAGTCCCCAGTCAGGACCGATCGCAGAGCTTAACCGCGGGCTGTGTTCTAATACCCCTCCACATCGACAAATATGGCACTACGTAGGACGCAGAAGTGCATCACAAACTGCTCATGTAGTGCACTCGTTTAGAGACTGGCTGATTATTTGGAATTCCGCCATGACGGACAAGCCACCGGGTCTTAGTGCTCGGTATTAAATCATCTTTATCTGAGCACCTGTATGATTGAGATTGTTGGGTTTTTTTTGTTTTTTTTTTTAAATAACAACGTTTCATTTCGTTTCTGGTGCTGTTAGATGTACGCTTCATCAACTAAAAAAAAAAAAGACAAGACTTCCATCTTGACGTCTGACGTAGTCACTAAACTTGTATGCCATTTTAGATAGAAATGCATTCAATATTAGAGCCTTAAGAACATTTAAATAGATGTCCGTGACCACTGACAACGGCATTTCCGCGAGAAAAAATAATCGATTTAGGGCCAACCGCATAGCATCACGTTTATAAACCGTGATTTTTATTCAGGCAATCATTAGAGAGTCCTATTTTCCGCCTGAGAAGGCCGAGCTGCAGGACCCCGACATTCTCTTTCCGCCCTAACCGCCATCTTGCGAGCAACCGGGGGTAAGATGTACTCCCGTAATTGTTCTTAAAAAACGTTTTTTGCTCAGGTTTCTCGATTCGTAACGCCCTAGAAACACGAAATAGACTTTTCTGTTTGGGGTTGTTTTTGAAACGTGCAGCCTGAGTGTTTTTAAATGAGTCAAATAGGCAAATAAATGGAGCCATGTAGCGTTCGCGTGGCTGAGCATGTGGGTTATGTGTCTGATGAAAAGCCCCATGTCGGTGTGTCGGTGATCTGTTTCACTCTTTATTTAGCTCAGCGCTGAAAATGCGAATGTTTAGGATTTTATTATTGACCATATGCTAGATAATCCCTTATACAAGTTTACTTAATGCATTTACACATTTGTTATGCGGTCTGATCTAACGTGCGTAGAGTCTGAAATGAGAAGTCCGGATCAGTCATGGTTGGGGATTTTACATCATACATACATATATATATCTTTTAAAGTCACAGTAGGCTTTTGATTAATGATGCAAGAATATCTGAATATGATTAGAATTAGTCTTATAATAACCTATCCATGAAGTTACTAGGGCCTCATCATAACAACAGTTTTGTCCTGTGCTGTCTTAATGCAAACTCAATCTGTTAAACTGTACAATTTTCAAAACTCTTAAATGTTCCAAGGATATTTGTCTGATTATCTGTAATCTCTCAATCCAGTAATCAGGCATCATGACGAACACAAGAGGCAAGAGGAGGGGAACCAGGTACATGTTTGCCAGGCCCTTCCGCAAGCATGGTGAGTGAAATAATGGGTTATAATCAGTATAGGTTCAATTTGATCACCTGCATTTCAGAAAAGAAAAAAAACCCCACGAGTGATCCTGTCTTTATAGCAAAACTGTGTTTACTCCACAGGCTCAGTTCCTCTGTCCACGTACATGCGCATCTACAAGAAGGGAGATATTGTTGATATCAAGGTAAGTAAAGAGACACGTGTGTATAAAGGTGTTTAAGCCTTAAAGTTTTGAATATTAAGTTTGATTGTGAGATGCTGACGAGGGGTAGATTTTAGATAGGAAACGAGCATGTGTGTTGAGTTAGTCTCTTTATAGCAACTGATTTATGAGTATAGGATGATCACCTCCTTGCTAATATTCCGGGTTTGTGTGCCGTTGAATCTGCCAGGTCAAACACATACTTGGTGTATTTCACAAGGACGATCTTCAGTCATAATGATCTAAAAGGCCTTATAACGTTAAAAACTGACCCCTATCAAAACGGTCAATAACTAGCCAGCAGTATTTTTGCTGAAGTTGTGATTTTTTTTTTTTGTGACAGATTTTTGTATCTTTCAGGAAATGTGGATGTCGCATCCAGACCTTGAAATTGATGGATATTCTGTTAGCAAATTAATATAGACTTAAACAAAATGACTGATTACTGTAAATCCTTTGTCACTCACTAGACGCTCTATTATTTATTACACTAACACATTCTCCTTAAAACATTTACGGTGTTTTGGCAGACACCCTTATTCAGAGCGACTTCCATTTCTCATTTATTCAATTGAGCAGTTGAGAGTTAAGGGCCCAGCAGTGGCAGCTTGGCAGTGCTGGGATTTGAACTCATGACCTTCTGATAAATTGACCAACGTCTTAACCACTAAGCTACCACTGCCTTAAGCATATTACGTTTCCTTGTTGAACCATGGAATGGGTTTTTAATTAGAGGAGATGACCCAGCTCGAAAGTACATGATTATACTTTTCAGGCTGTTCAAAGACTGGTATCTGCTTATAAATATTTTCTTGTCGATTAGGGCACAGGAACCATTCAGAAAGGCATGCCTCATAAGTGCTACCACGGCAAAACGGGACGCATTTATAACGTCACACAGCATGCTGTAGGCATCATTGTCAACAAGCAGGTCAAGTAAGTACAACACAGTCTGGAATTAACTGTTAACTTTGCCGGGTGTTATGCCCCAAAAGTTTTGTGCTGTTCGTAGTGGTTGTGTGTGATTCTGCAAAGGTTGCAGTGTAAAATGTTTATAACAGTAGCAGATTACACAGTCAGCGGGGTTTTGGTGGCGCCTCGTACCTTCAGCTGAGAAACCGAGGTTGCTGTAGTATGATTTATGGGACGAACGTTTTAGGGGGTTGCTGCTGGCCACTTAAAAAGATTTGAACCACTGGCGTGAGGGATTTTGAGTGGGTAAAAATACTTAAAAGTTGAAAGATTGTGGTATTTTGGGGGTTTAAAAAAATATCAACACTGAGAATAATTGTCCTTTCACACACGCTTTTAAAAACCCCATTGCAGCGTGTTATCATGGTTTATTTCCCCACCTTCACTTTGCCATGAGGACCTCTTTATGTCCTGTGTGGTCATTCCTGTGGGGGAGAGAAATCCTCCTTATGCACCCTGGCCAGACTGTGTCATGTCTACACCAGATTGTCAATAAGGACACACACACATATTTTATTCTTCCTGAATCAAACTCGAACCGCTTCACCTGTGAGCCCGTTCTCACTGACTTTCTATATTTTCTTCCTGCAAGAGGCAAGATCCTGGCCAAGAGAATTAATGTGCGCATCGAGCATGTGAAGCACTCAAAGAGCAGAGAGAGCTTCCTGCAGCGCATCAAGGAGAATGAGAAGAGGAAGCTGGAGGCCAAGGCCAAGAACTCCTGGGTGGAGCTCAAGCGCCAGGTACGCGGTGCCGCACAGCAAGCCACAGTGGACTTTTATAGTGTTCTTATAAAGTACTTTATTATTTTGCATCTTCCTCCAGTCTGCATGATTCGGTGAGAGTGCTGCTAATTAAAATATCGGTCTAGAATATTTGCATCCAGGATAGATGAACATTAGGCTTTAGAGCTGCATGATAATGATTTAATCATGATCTAATTGGACAAATTGTACTACATTGTCAGGGATGGTTGTTAATCTATAGTATGTACAGTATTGGTGTTTTGTTAGTGAACATTGAAAGTACAAATTAAAAAATGTAAAAGGCTGCTCATGAAGTACAGTAGTAAAATGGCACAGGTAGCTGTGTGCATAAACACAAATAAGATTTTAAATGTAGTGTGAAAGTCAACAGTTTACAGTGCATTCACAATTCACCTTCTCTTTCGCCTCAGCCTGGTGTAAATGTTTTAAATGTTAAGTAAAAAATTAAGATTACATGTAAAATGAATAAATTACATGGTATGCAACCAAACAGTTAAAACATGAGCACTTATTTTATACACAATACATCTAATGTTTGCCAACTAGCTGTTGAAGCTATGTGCACTTTATTTTATTCAGGTAGAACTTGACAATTTGAATGACTAGGAATCTGTCCAGTTCTTTATATTTTTTAATAGACCTACTGCAGCGCTGCACAGGCTGATTGCTCATGCAGGTGCTGAGCTGGTTCTTAGGAACAATTAAGCACTGACCTCTTTGTTTTACACATCCACATTAGTTTTGATCTGCTTAAATGTTTCATTGTAAATTTGTGCTAGTCTGTGTGATGCAATGTTTACACTGTTTGCCTTTGTTTTCCTCTCTTTCACTTCCCCTCCCATTCTGTCTTTCCTCTGCACAGCCCGCTGCCCCTCGTCCAGCCCACTTCGTCAGCACCAAGAACAACATGCCCCAGCTCCTGGAGCCCATCCCCTACGAGTTCATGGCATAAATCTGCTGATTAAATAAAGACCTTTATACACCCACGTCTGTCTGGGCATCAGTTTTTGCTTCTTTGTGCTCATGTCTTTACTAGGAATTAACTTCTGTAGTAGTAAGGTGGGAATGGAGAGTTGTTCGTACCTGAAGTCAGTGTGGGTGACTCTCTAAAGTGGTCTCTGTTAGAGACGGGAGAATCAACATCATGTCTTTTTGTGCCCTTTTCTGGCCACAGCCTTCAGTATAGTGAATATTGGAGTCTGATTGGCTCTGCAATTTTCGGTGCTGGGTTTTGTTGGGGTAAACAAAACTGGAGAAGCTTTTTCAAGTAATATCAGTCACAACCTCTCTTAAAGAAAAGTTGTTCAATTGTGATTCCTTCAATGGAAAAACATGTCAAACAACCCGAGATGTGACCGTGCTGCGTTTATTCACGTAGTGAGTGTACTTGATTCATGTGTTCACTCATTATTAAATTTGGTCTGGGAATTATTTAATTGCTAAAAAAAAAAAATTCTACAGGTTTCTTTAAACCAGTGCTCCACACCCTGAGGATACTACACATCAAATACCACGACTGAAATCTGTGAGGGGGTTTTGCTGGAGGAGGAGATGTTGGAGTGTTTCTGTGGGAGCCACTTCAAGCGTGTAGTGTCTTAATGACCCGGGTTAATTTTTACTGATCGTAACAAACAAGCTTGTGTTGCACAAATGTTCTGGATTCTCAAATATCTCACCCACGGTCTAGTTTTCAGCAACCACCAGGGGGCAGTGTCTGCAAAGCAAACTTTTGCAGTTCTCCATGTCAGAATTACTGATTGGGGACCTTTTGGCAGTGGTGTGTAGTCTTTCATAGAGGCAAAGTGAAAACAACTGGACTTGTTTTTTTCTTCCTTAAAGGTGTATTTTAATATGCCGCAATGCTGAAAATGTACTACATCCTTTTCTGATTTTTAATGTTATGTTCCATCGACTGCTCTGATTCAATTTAGACTCGAGTTAGACTGGTTAACTTTGTTGACTTAAGTAGTTTGGTTCACAGTTTTCTCTCTTGCTTCACTCTTAGTTTATTATTACTTCAAGTGTAAAATAAAATAAAAAGATGCGAAGCAAATGCATGGTACTTCTGCTAACTATCGAAGCTATCAAGCTGATTTGGCTAGCAATGTTACGAATAGTTTGTTTTATACAAACCTCTATTTGCCCATTTTTTCCACTTTTGTATTCTCAGCAATTTCACCAAATTCTGTATAATGAAAAGAAGAAAACACTTCGCTAGTAAATGTTTTGAATCACTCTGTATGTGTGTTGCATACGTCCCAACAAGCGTAGCATCTTGTGTCCATGTATACGTAAAGGCTGATTAACTCTATGTGCAGACCTTGGGTCAGTTAAACCAGTCATGACTTTTGATTGGGTAATATTTGGAATGTTACATTTTTCTGGATATTGGACGAAATTTGACAGCTGGAGATTAAAATGTGGGAGATAATAATCCAGACCTCATTGTCTTCATAGCTACAGTATATTTGCAAAAATGTATGTGGACATTTACCCATCAAACCCAATAGGGGTTTTGGATGCACACAACTGTATATAGGATGTCTTTGTATGCTGTAGCAGTACAATTTCACTTCACTGGAACTAAGAGGCACAAACCTGTTCCAGCATGACGATGGCCCTGTGCACAAATCGAGCTTCATGAAGACGTTGGTGTGGAAGAACTTGAATGTCCAGCACAGAGGCCTGACCTTAACCCCAATGAATATCTTTGGGATGAACTGGAACACCGACTGCACCCCATACCTCCTCACTCAGCATCAGAGCCTGACCTCACTAATGCTCTTGTAGAATGTGTGAATGAACACAAATCCCCACAGCCACGCTCTAAAATCTAGTGGAAAGCCTTCCCAGAAAAGTGTAGGAAAAAAGAAATAAATCTGGAATGAGATGTTCAACAAGCAGATGTGAGGGTGATGGTCAGGTGTCCACAAACTCTTGAACATATAGTGTAGCTATGGCCATGGTAGCAGGGTATTTTAATCCAAAACCTGTTTGCCTCTCTCAGAAGGTTATGATTTCACCATAGATGGATTATTTAGCAACATAATAACCACATCCAAATCGACACAGAAATGACAGCAGGAACCAAATCAATGATTTCAATGCCCAAGTCAGTCAGTGAAATCATTGATTTTGTGGTTTTGAACTGAATTGGAAAGTGGTGGTTTAAATTAAAGTGGGAATCCAGTGGTACAAAACAGAATATAAAATAACTAATGTTCTGTATGAAAAACAGTCCATTCTACATCTACAAGTGCCTTCAACCTATTTTGACATGACAGGAAGTCACAGTGCGCGTTGAGTTCTCCTTTAGAAACTTCACAGGATATATACAGTTTTGTAGAAATGTTTACAGCAATGTTTGCTGAAAATCTGCATTGTCTAAGAAAACTGTAATCCAGTTAAAACTATATCATAAAACGATACGGCATGTCTTTATGTTTTAAGTAAAGAATAATACATTTATGGATATACAGTGGTGCTCAAAAGTTTTTGAACACTTTAGAATTTTCTATATCTCTGCATAAATTTGACCTAAAACGTCATCGGATTTTCACACAAGTCCTAATAGTAGACAAAGAGAACCCAGTTAAATAAATGAGACTAAAATATTATACTTGATTTATCATTTTATTTATTAAGGAAAATGATCCAATGTTACACATCTGTGAGTGGCAAAAGTGAAATTAGAGTCAGGTGTTTTCAATCAGTGGGATGACAATCAGGTGCGAGTGAGTGCACTGTTTTATTTAAAGACCAGGGATCTATCAAAGTCTGATCTTCACAACACACAATGTTTATTGAAGTGTATCATGGCATGAACAAAGGAGATAAAAAGAGTTGTTGATGCTCATCAGGCTGGAAAACCATCTCTAAAGAATTTGGACTCCACCAATCCACAATCAGACAGATTGTGTACAAACTTTCAAGCACCACTATAC